AGACGCTACTTAGCCCGATCTTCGGCTTCTCGCATCCAGTTGCTACTGGTCGCTCTATCTAGCCAGGGGACAGTTTAACAGGGGTAGAGCCACGCGGCAGCATGCTTTGTTGCACGTACGGGGCGGCTAAAACCGGGGTGGTACCACGACCTCACAGAATACCGGCGTGAAGTGGAATCTCTGCTTCCGCGTTTCGACTGGTGAGTGCAGGTATCCGGAGGCCCAAATCCTCCCCCCCCCCATCAACATGCTAGCGGAATTAAATGTTAGACTACCCCAGGAGGGTACCAGCACCCCTGGAGAATCCCTCGCTGAGTACGACCAAGTTACTCCACTCCTGGGCGTGGGTGCTCAGGCTGCCCCGCGTAGTCTGAGGGGGGGGGCAAAATTCTGCTCAAGACTACAACTGCTCGGGGCAAACGGAGCAACAAGATCAAGGCGATCCGTGAATTTCTGCAATATCAGGGGACTTCACTCTAACCTAAACGCCGTCCACTACCATCTCGAGACGTCGGGGCCGGCTCTGCTCTTTCTGACCGAGACACAGGTGTCCTCTCCGGCTGATATCTCGTATCTCTCCTGCCCGGGGTACAAACTGGAATACTCCTTTGTGCCTCGAGTAGGAGTTTGCGTTTACGTCAGAGAGGACATCAGTTCTCGACGCCTCGGCAGTCTTGAAGGTTCGGACCTGTCCATCCATTTGCTACGCGTAGACAGCGACGACCATCCGTGCGTTTACGGGTGCCTCTATAGGTCCCATAGCAGTAATGCCGAAACAGACCGACTCTTCGACCACGTCCAAATGGCTACAGATTCGTTGCTACAGCAGATCCCCTCCACAGAGATTGTGATCCTCGGCGATTTTAACACCCATCACGCCGATTGGTTTACGTTTAACCGATCATGCGGGGAGATCTGTTCATGATTTTGCCTTGGCATATGGTCTGACACAACTGGTTACTTCGCCTACGCGGATTCCAGATGTGGAGGATTATGCACCTTCCCTGTTGGATCATCTGCTGACCTTTCACCCGGACTGATATCAGATTTTTGTCGACGCCTCTTTGAACCATTGTCTTGCCTGGAGTGTGGTGCCACTCACGCTAAAATCGCGGCTGCATTCTGCGGGCTGCCGCCGTGTTTGGCACTATAGGTCAGCCGATTGGAATGGGATGTGGTCTTTCTATGCATCCTACCCTTGGGGGCGGGTTTGTTTCTCGCCGGACGATCCCAATGTTCTTGCGGATTCTGACGCTGATGTGGTACTTCAGGGTATGGAACTTTTTATTCCTTCCTCTGTGGTGCCTATTGGAGGCAAATCTCAGCCAAGGTTTGGTCGCTCCTGTGAAATAGCATCACGCTATAAGCACGAGTGCTACCAAGCCTGGGCTGATGCATCTACGTCCCGGGATGTAAACACCAGCGCTCTAAAAAAGAAGTATAGTTCCGCCTCTAGGTCCTTCAAAAGAGTCATTGCCAAGGCAAAATCAGAGCACATAGGCAGAATTGATGAGAAACTAGTTCGCCTTCCTTCTGGAACCCGTACATTCTGGTCTTTTGCCAAGGCTGTCCAGGGGAATTTCTGTCAGCCATCTCTTCCATCTCTGCACAGGGAGGACGACTCACTGGCCCATACCACAAAGGAGAAAGCCGATCTGCTAGGCTCTTTCTTTGCGTCCAACTCGACTCTCGATGACGGGGGAGTACGCCGCCGATCATCCCGCGGTGTGAGTGCTCTATGCCGGAAGTGCAATTCACACAGCGCTCGGTTCGCAAAGCACTCCTCTCCCTGGACATTCACAAGTCGAGTGGGCCTGACTGAATCCCCCAATTGTGCTGAGGACGTGTTCTCTAAAGTTGGTACCGGTTTTGACGCGTCTTTTCCGGTACTCCTACTCCCTAGGCGTAGTCCCAAAATCATGGAAGACGGCTTCCTTCTACCCGATCCCTAAAAAAGACGACCGCTCAGACCCGTCCAACTACAGGCCTATCGCCATCACCACCATCTTGATCAAGATACCTTATGAGTTAGCAGTTTACAATGGACTCCATTGTTTTGGAGAACAAGGAGGTGGATCACCAGCTGATTGATGATCGCCAATGCGGTTTTCGTCGTGGTCAATAAACTGGTGATCTTCTGGTTTACCTAACTCATAGTCTGGGCGGAGGCAGTAGAGTCCAAGTGGGAGGCATTGGTTTTTAGTTTGGACATTGCGGAGGCCTTCGATCGGGTTTGGCACAAAGCGCTTCTTTCTAAGCTCCCTCCTGCTATGGGCTTCCCGATAAATTGTGCAATTGGATCACCAGTTTTCTTGCAGATCAGAACTTCAAGGTCGTTATAGACGGTTCGAGCTCCGATTACAAGCCTATTAATGCTGATGTTCCACAAGGGTGCGTGCTATCTCCACCGCTGTTTCTTCTGCATATCGAGATTATGTTGCAAGCCCGTAACGTTCATTCCTATGCAGATGAAAGCACCGGCTGTGCCAATATTTCTGGGGAAAACGTCTTCGAGTACCGGGACAAACTTGTGTCTGAAGTTGAGTCTTTGCCTAACAAAGTCTCGGATAGGGGGCGACTAAATCTAGTCCAGTTTAACCCTCAAAAGATACAAGTTTTCGCTTTAACCGCTAAAAAGAACCCCTTTGTCGTATCTCCTCAGTTTCAAGGCACTCTCCTTGTTTTCTCTGCCAGTATCGGAATCCTCGGCGTGGAGATATCGAGTGACGTACAGTTTCGGGGTCACTTTTAAGAGAAGGCCAAATTGGCCTCTAAAAAGCTTGGCGTGCTCAGCAGAGCGGGACAGTGTTTCATACCAGCACACTGCCTGCAACTTTACAAGGCGCAAGTTCAGCCGCACATGGAATACTGTTCCCATCTCTGGGCTGGGGCCAGTGCCAGCTACTTCCACTTGACCGCATCCAGCGCAGAGTGGCTCGAATTGTCGACGACCGAGTGCTTTCCGATCGGCTCGATTCATTGGCGCTACGAAGAGATGTTGCATCTCTTTGCATTTTCTGTCGCATATACCACGGGGAGTGCTCTGAGGAATTGTTCGGATTAATCCCAACCTCCAAATTTCGTGAACGCACTACGCGGCTAACGTCCCGATACCATCCACACCATCTGCATGCTTGGCGTTCCCCCACTGTACGTTTCACAAGGAGCTTTCTTCCGCGTACTACCTCTCTGTGGAATAGTTTACCACCGGCGATTATTCCGGACCGATACGACCTGGGGACCTTCAAGAAAAGAGCTTACTCCTTCTAAAGGGCCGGTAACGCACCTGCAATTCCCCTGGTGTTGCGGTTGATCATGGGCGATGGTGGTCACTTAACATCAGGTGAGCCGCACGCTCGTTGTCCCCCTCTTCTATAAAAAAGGGGGGCGTCCCACACTGCGTTTACCTAAACGCGGTCTCCACTCTATGACACGCCCACTCCAACGGTTATCGCTTCTGCGACAAATGTGACCAGCCCATTGCCACTTCAGCCTGCACATACGAAGGCTACGTCGGTGACTTTGGTTCTCCGGCGGATTTCTTCGTTACGAATCTTATCCACCAGAGAAACTCCGAGCATAGCTCTATCCATCGCCCGATGGGTGACTTTGAGTTTTTGAAGTAGTTGTACTGTTAGTGCCCACCTTTTGGCACCATATTATGTGAGATGTGACTTCTGGCAGGACTCACTGGTCGAAGACTTTCGTCTTCAAGTTTTGCGGTAGAAGCGACGAGGAGACCTGACGAAGCTTCCCGAACGCTGCCCAGCCTAACTGATATCGGCTTCTTTCGAAGTTGTTTTTATCTATCTGCATTATCTGGCCGAGGTAGATATACTCTTGAACAACTTCAAGAATTTCACCATCAACGATAATCTGATCTGGTATGATAAGACTGTTAAACATGACTTTCGTCTTATTTAAATTCATACGCAGACTGACACATTTCAGTTTGGTTTCACTTATAGAACGTAAATTCAATGAAAAATAACATTTTTTTAGTAAAATCTCAATTTTTCCTTAATTTCTCAATTTGTGCCTGTCCTAAGCCAGGACGAAAGTATGAAGGAAAAGTTACATCACAGGTTATGTGTACCTATTGTGTTTTTATTGGAATTTTGTGTAGGTAGCTAGGGCGGGCGGTGATCTTTACAGTGATTACGTCACTCGGGCGCATAGGGTATCCATGAATTTACGGACGGTGTCGGACAGAAACTTTTAAAATTTTATGAAAGAAAATAGTGTTTTTTTTAAATTCGGATAAATATTTTTATATTAAAGCCTATGGTTTTAGTGACAACGGTGTTTACACTTACACCGTGTATATAATTACTCTGAGGACTTAGTATCCTCCAAAAAATTAAAAGTGCTAGAGTCCTGTATAGAACCTTCGAGCATAGAAAAATAGGACAGTTAATATACTCGGTATATTTGGTATCTGTGGTCTGTGAGGGAGTTTTAGCGGGAACTTGGCCGTAGACGGATTGTAGCTCTTATTTTGTCGCTTGAATAATGGTTTGAAGTGGATTTTGATTCGTAAAAGTGATGCGATTTTGTGAATTAAGTGTTCGCGCGTGTGAACGTGTTAAAGAAAACGACGAAACAAGTGCTTTGATGTCGATATAAACCTCAAGTTGAACTTGAGTGGCTGTCGTCATCAACTGTCCGCAGGGTTGTGCTGTCGTTAAAATCTCCCAAGGACTTCGCAATGTGATGTTTCAGCATATTATGAAGAAAAAGAGTATAAAACGAAGATTCCGAAAAAAAAGATAGGCTCAGAAAGGCTAGAACCCAGAGCCTTAAAGCCAGTTAATAAAAAAATGTGGTCTGTGAATAACCAAAATGTCTGACTGACTGATAAAAACAATTTTAAGAGGTGGTGTGCGCGTCTGTCTCTATTTAATGGTTTACATTTCGATATATTAATTATAGTTCCAGTGGTGTGGTATAATCGTCAAAAAAAAAACTGCGCTTTAATACTTTTTAAGCTAGGAAAAACAATGTCGGCTGATAATATTGAAAAGCTTTATCAGAACTACGGTATCCTGGCCGATGCTAAAGATGACATATCAAAGGTAACTTGAATATTATGTTAGCAAGTATATAATTTTACTGTAGTAGTAGTAGTAGTTTAATATGTTTTGTTTGTATTTTAAGCATGAGAAAGAATATTTGGAGATTTTGGCAGCAGTAAAAGGGTCCGACAAAGAAAAACGCTTAGCGTCACAGTTTATTGCTAAATTTTTCAACAGTTTTCCTAACCTTGCCGAACAAGCCATAGAAGCTCAATTTGACTTATGTGAAGATGACGACGTTGCTGTAAGTACCATTTATATCAATATATAACTGTAATAATAAAAATATACCGTGTAGTGGCGGTGTAAGAATATTACACCTTAACGTCCGGTACAATGTAACGCCCAGTCTCCACTGGGGGTTTTGTGGGTATTTCTTTAGTAATCTGCCGCACGAATTTACGGTCGCCGAGTGGGCGGGTAGATGGGAAGGAGGGGTAGGAACCTCCCCCTAAAAGAATTAAGTGCCGGACCCCCCCCCCTTTTTTATGAATTTTGTAATCTTCCGCATGAATATATGGTCGCCGAGTGGGGGGCGGCTGGGGTAGGAACATCCCCCTAAAAGGGGGAAGTGCAGGAAACCCCCCTTTTTTTGTTAAATCATAACCTCACTTTTTATACAGGAATATTGACGCAGTTACTTCTGCAACGGCTTCGGCACTGCGGGAAGTGCAGCCCCTTCGCCCTTGTGTAGCAAATCACAGGCACCCATGCTCGCCTCCGCAGCTTCGGCTTGTTGCTCACCTTCGGCGACCAGCCTCAGCCGCTATGATTCTCTTAGGTGCCCGCGATTTGCTACAGCGGGCGGGGGCTGCTCTCCCTCTGTGCCTACGGCTTCACAAAAACACTAGGGGTAGGGCAGACAAAACTACTTGGAGTTGGGATGTGTCATCTATAAAGTCTAGTTGCTCTTAACTCTGCTGCTAGAGTGGTAAATGAAATAATGTAATGTGAATTGTTACAATTTTGTTTTCTGAAAAACCTTGACTGCTCTCCACTGCAACTCAATTTGTTGTATATAAGTCCCATCTCCAGCCACAAATGGATTGTCTGGGTCCGAGTGATTAACTTTTTTATGAGGTATCTGTGTTAAAAAAAAAACAAATTGACATATTTGCGTTTCATTATATGTAATTTAAAGTGAAATTTATTTTTATCGTAATTAATTCAAAAGGCATTTCCGAAATCCAATAACAGTGTAAATGGTTCGAACTTAACCCTGACAATCCTCCTAAATTGAAAACAATTAAAAAATCAAGTATTGGAAATCTGCTTCATAATACGAGAACAAATTGCAATATTACACTATTTTTGGTGAAATTTGTTTTTATCGTAATTCATTCAAAATGCATTTCCGACATCTAAAAACAGTGTAGTAGGTTTAAGATTAACCCTAACAAGCCTCCTAGACTAAAAACATTATCAAAATCAAGTACCGGATGTCTAGCGAACCCGATATAACCTCAAAACTTTAACTATCGATATCTCGAAAAATAAAGATTTCCGAAATAAAAATCAGCTAAATGGTAATCAATTGCATCATTGCCTGTCAACTAAAGCTGAAATAATCACTTAAATCATGCAGCAGATTACTAAAGCCGACCCGTTTTGTGGTATCCATAACTTCCGGGTTCTTATCTGCCTCTTTGTTTGGTGGAGTATCAAAGAATTTGCCTCCTCAACCTTGGAATTTTACATATACTGTCCCACATACGTCGGGATATAAACCACCGGCACCGAAACAACGAGGAACCACCCGTCCCTCTGTATGTCAGCTTTGAGTAATAGCCAGTCCCTGATGTTTACCCAGCGGTTCTGATACACCAGCACTCAACCAATGTCGCGTGAGTCCTTCCAGGCACCTTGGGCATCAGGGATAAGGAAGAAATATTTGATTCTCACCCAAATCTGCTTTAGCAGAAGAAGTGTAGCTCGTACTTGCAGCCTTTGGTTGCCGTTCAAGTGGAGTTCGATGTGGACTCTCCCAGCATCCTTTTGGCAGGTCTTTCCTTCTTACTGGGATGCTTGGCTGCTCTCTGCTTCCAGGCTGATGTCTTAGCGCTGGTCCCCGCGGCTGCGCCTACTACTTGGGGCTGGATTTTTATTCTTTCCAGTTTCAGTGCGGCTACTATTTCCAGCCCCAAGCTCCGCAGTGCCAGTAGCTTGCCCAGCTCACTTTGTATTCTTAGATGCAGCGAGCACGGCACTTACTCTGCGGTCTTTTTCTCATTGCTTCTTATTCTTCTTCGCCTTTGCACCACTGCCTGCTGGGATAGACCCACCTGATGGTCCGTCAGGTCGGCAAGTCACCTTTTTGGGTGCCTTGTCCTTCCTCTTATGGCTCACCACTTGCCAGGCAGCAGAGAAAAGGTCATCTGTTCTTTGGGGCTCTGCAGGAGTTTTTCCACCCGCGGTTCCTTGCTCTTTTCTCGCGTCCAGCTCCTCAGATTTGGTACTGCTTTTAGGAACATGCAGCGCGAAAATTGTCCCCCTTGGTGTGGCCACCTAAGCTGCATGGTACAGTCCGTGGAACCACCGGTTTAATGGCGGTTCCTCCTTGTTTGTCTGTGTGTAAGGTGAGCACCTCCAACTCGTCTCCCTCTTTTCTAATGGTCCTTGAATTTTTTATGTTTTACACATTCATCCTCCCGGCTTCCCACCCTCTATGGAGCCCGCACCTTTAGGAACGCCCAACTTTAGTATAAAAATAATTTCAGGCGTTAAGGATTACCGGAGGAACATAGGGACGCAAAGTTGGCGTTCAGTGTGACATCAGAAGATCGATCCTCTTGACAGATAGCGGTGAAAAGGCCCATCCCCACTGCGTGAATAGATTTTCACTTGCTTCGTCAGCATAGCCTTTACCACCACCTAGCCCTTTTCAGGAAAAGTAGGCAGCCCCCACATCCCTCGCATGCGACCCTCTGACTGGATGCTTGGCCATTTCCCTATCTGTGGCTAGCAGATAAGGCCACCGTTTAACTCGAAATCTGGACCAAAGACGGCGTGTTGCCTCTCAACACTATGTACCCCAGTGACGATCGGCTCAACCCTCCAGGATTTCTTCGTCCCACATATGGCACTCAACTGCGCAGGTGGGTGTGTTAGTCCACCGGATACCACCGGTTACTCTCTTGCGGAACCACCCCTCCTCTCTTATCCGGGCTTGGTATCGGCTGCACCAAAAACACAGGCAGAATTCATTCATGTTATTTACTGTAACACCAACAAATAATTACTGAGAGATTGAGGGAATAAGCTGTGAATTTTGTTTAATTTCGAATGTTCCTTTTTCAATTATATGTGGAGTGTATGTCAATGCAAAAATATCTATGTTTTATATATTAATGCCCAGGTGAAAGTAAAATACAGCTTGCTTAAATATAGAAACCTAAAAATTTTATGAATTAGGGTTGAATATACTATGACCACTCGTTGACTAATAATGTTACATAATTACATAAAACTAGATCATTTACAGATTGTAACAGTTCACATTAAGCAACATGCACTTGTAGTAAAGACTTCATATATGTTTTAAATCTGCAAAATTTGTAATTTCATGTAAGCAAAAATAAAATTGTGGAACACTATGCATTTCCCCATTATAATATTCGCGTCTTTAATAACAAAAAGATCTATCCCTCATAAAAATTTACTTTCAAAATCAGTCCTAGGTTTTGTATAGTTGAGTCACATAAAAGCTTTATAAGATTTTATGTGTTTTAGTAATTGCTATGATTACAATGGAAGTTATTTTTAGCGGTCAACTTTAAAATTATTTAATAGAGTCAATTGTTTTGTCCTTAGTCTTTTTTTTTTAATTTTGAGGTGTTTTACATAAATAAATAGTACATAGTTATGCATCCCGGTATTCCCGGAACTGCACCGGAGACCATCATAATTCAAGCGTAAGAATCTTGACTACATGGATATGTTTATCCACTTGCAAAATTTATTTATAGATACAATATATTTTATTATTTGATATATCATATTAGATTCAATCCCATGCCTCTTAATAGCAAGGTTTGCAAGCAAATTTCAATCAAACGGTTTTGTTATGTATAAAGAACCTGTAATAACAATACACTTCATTATTTTTTATTATTTCTAAATAATGTCATTAAAACTTTGTTTTTTCAGATCCGTAAACAAGCAATAAAAGATTTGCCAATTATGTGCAAAACTAATAAGGAACATACTCAACGAATTGCTGATATTTTAGCACAACTTTTACAGTCAGATGATGCTACAGAAATAAATGTTATTACAAATTCCTTGGTGACAATTTTAAAGAATGACCCCAAAGGAGCACTGACAGGACTATTTTCTCAGATACACCAGAGTACAGATAGTGAGGTCACCAATGATGTTATCAGGGAGAGGTGCATCAAATTTTTGGCTACTAAAGTAAAACAACTCGGTAGGGAAGTTATCAACAAAGAAGCAGAGGATCTTATAATTGCAGAATGCAAGAAAATTTTAGAGGTTTGTTATTGTTCTTTATAGTTTGTTATTAACACATTAAACGCCACGTAGGTCACTGGTGACCGGACCCTGCTCTGTGTCTAGACGCCACGTAGGTCACCGGTGACCTCGAGGCATATCTGACTTTAAACCTTATTTCTACCGCTAAGCACTTAGATTTCATTGATTTATAGCAAGCATGTGGCCGGAGTGGCGCTGTAGAACACTTTTGCTGAATGGTTCTTGTGTAGCTAATTTTTTTTCAAGTTATAAGGAAAACCTTATTGCCGTCCGCGGTTCTACTTGCCAACATTATTAAATCATTTTTTGAAGCATTAATTTACTTATAAAAATACGTTTTTGGCTTTTAAACCTCATAAATATTATGTAGCATTCCATAACGTTAAGGTAGTCAAATAACAAAATTTGCAATGATGTAAAGACTTACAAAGTAGAAAAACGTTTCAAACTAATCCTTTATATTTTATGAATACTATTAAAACAAGGCAAACATAAATGCGGTTCGTTATCGCATTCACTGCAAAATGTAGAGACTTTTTTAGTTTTGTTTTTGGCGGCCTTGGATCCGTAAGTACCAACATTAGTTTTATAACATTGGGCACAAAAACGCCTTGTACTTCTCACAGTACCTTCTTTGGTTTGAAGCTTATGTTTAACTCTTCTTGGTCGCTCATTGCTTGCTTCAGGTCCACTTTCTGTCTGAGTCAAGTAGTCTACCAATTGCCTTCTGAATTGGACTATCCCTATATTTGTTTTTTTTTTTATTTTCACAATACATCACCCATGAATTTACAAGAGCAGTATTCAGAATAAGCTCTATAGCTAATTTTTTGTACCATTTTACTGTTTTTAGCAATGGCGACGAGTAAGAGGTCATTTGGTCACTTATGTCTACTGAGCCTTTTGCTTTGTTGTAGGCAACAATCATTTTTGGTTTGGGAACCACTCTTCCTTTTTTCACGACGGTGGTGAATCCCTTTGAGTGCTTTGTAGAGAGCATTAACACATCCCTTTTGGACTTCCATTTTAGGACACAAATACCTCGCTCGTTTTCCCTGGCAATAGACTCGCCTGGCTGTAGTTTTGATTCGATTACTTCTTTTGGTAACCCTTTTCGTGATTTTCGTAAAGTTCCGACGAGATGAGTGTCCTTATCAAGAAGTTGGTTTGCAAGCAGAAAACTAGTATAACAATTATGTGTTGAAACTGTATGCCCGCAGTTTAATATATTCTTACATATCTCCATGACTACGTTGGTTGGCGAAGTATTTACCAGTTCGTGGTCCTTACCTGGCTTAAAGGCTTAGTTTACAGGTGTAGCCTGGTAATGTGCATAGTTTAAATAATTTCCTTCCGTATTTATGACGTTTGCTTTTATTGTATTGGCGGAATATTATTCGACCTCTGTGTGGCACTTGACTTTCATCTACACATACATCCTCTTTCAGTGCGTAACAATTTTCAAATGTTTGATTAAGAGAATCGATGAGCGGACGAATTTTATTAATTCGGTCCGACAAATTCGCAGTTTCGTTGTTAACAAAATGCAAATATTGTAAAAGTATTTCGAATCTATTCCTGCTCATTACAGTATGAGGAAACCAACAACCACAGACGAAATTTTTTTATTTCGTCTGTGGTTGTTGGTTTCCATGAACGTGACCGCGATGATGGTTTAGAGGTTGGTCCCGTTTGTACTGCGAACAAATTTGTTTGCATGGCAATTTCTTCAAAAATCTTATCCGGAACAACCAGGCTATAATATTCTCCAGCTGGGCTGTTTTGAAGCTGTTTTGCATACGGTTGCTTCATACCTAAAAGCAAAAAAAAAACATTACACATCCTATTCGATGAAACTCTAAAGCAATACAAAAAGAAATCCTGTATCTTTATAATATTAGTTTAGAAAAGTTCACGTCAAAAACTATTTAGCCGGACATGTCCGTTATTTTACTTTACCTCGGAAAAACAGACAAACAGACATCTCCATGTTAATTTTTATATAGATAACAGGTACAACAGTTAGAAAACAGAAACAGGTAGAACAGTCCCAGGTATAAGCGCGTTCAAACAAACAATCAAACCTTGCCATTTTATAATAATAGTGTAAACTAGCGGTTGTCCCGCGGTGTTGCCTGCGTTAGAACTTCTATCTTCAAAAGTTCAATAAAAAAAGACAGATTTGAAAACGTTTTCGATCACTGCTCGGCTCCCGTAAGTTGTAGCGTGATGAAACAAACTCTAGTAATTGCTCCTTGAATAGCTTAACATTATGCAAAAAACCCCATCAAAATTGGTTCAGCCGTTTTGCCGTGAATCCCGGACAGACAGAAAGACAGACAGACAGACAGACAGACCGACAGACAAAAATCTTAAAAACTATTGATTAGGTGTTGGTTACGTGCAAATAACGATATAAACTTAAAAAAACACCATTATATCAAAATCACAAACAGACACTTCAATTTTATTTATTTGTATTGATTTTAGTATAATGGACACAAACCTGTGGGTACAGTAAATGCAATAACTGATGGCTGGTGACCTTTTGGTGTTGACCAACTTTGACGAGCGTTATCCTGTAGTTCGCAGATTCTAGAGTTTAAGGTTTCATCTGGATCGTCGTCACTATCCGAATCACTGGCGATAATGATGCGCTTACGCTTTTTTGATGGAATTGGATCATCATTATCACTTTCTTCCTCACAGATTCGTTCTATCTCACTAAAAATGCTAGCTTCCAGCAAATCTATATTTCGTAAATCTTCCTGCGATATATCTAAGTCGAAATAAGCGTCTATCTCCATCGCGGCAATAGAAAAAAAAAACATAAAAGTAGGCGTGCGTCTTGATTGAAAGTTGACGATCGACTCCGGGGGCGGGTGGCCGGAAGCGTGACCAACGCGGCGTATCGGTAACGGAAACGCTCTTTGTTATATCATGGCGCCGCGTAGGACACCCGTGACCTCATGAGGTTTTATAGGTTTTTTTTTCTAAACTATACCTTTTACAGCGGTCTAGCATATATGGATATTCATGTCTCCTAATAATACATCAAAGTGCACCAAGACAAAAAAAAAATCAATTTTGGTTATAATTAGCATGGCGTTTAATGTGTTAAATATTCATATGGCTGTGAATTTTTGATTAATCTATAATCAGAAGTTACTACTTTTATAATATGTTAGCTCTTAAAGTTGTATTTACCTGTGGTAGTGGTAGAGTCAGTCAGTCACCTAAAAAATTATATCCCTGTACCATTTACATTTACTGAAATATTTGTTGTTTTCTGATGATTTTAGCTTAGACTGATCTCTAGTCTTAAGGGTATCAAATGCCAAAAGGTCTAGCATCTCGTTTTGTTTTTACTGGCAGTTTAAAGGGTATATAAATTATAAACAATTTAATGGAAATCAAATATTTATACCATACTTATGCACATTGTTTTAGGATGTTGTTGCTGAAGAATTTGAACACATCATGGACCTACTAACATGGTCTCGACTAGGTAAAACCCCAGCAGGCAAAAAGGAGTTGACTCAACTAGTTGCAGCCCTTGCTTTTACCCCAGATGACTGGAATCCGGAAGATCCTGAATATGTAGATAGAGTGATACAATGCTCTCAACACGCTTTGCCTCTGTTTTCTGTAAGTTTTTAGATAAGTTAACTATATCATTACTTTCTTTACATATTTATAAAAGAAACTTATGCCGGATAGATAATATTAATTACTTTACAGGCTCAAGTAGAATCCACACAGTTTGTCAATTTCTTTTGTGAACATATTTTGGAGAAATGGAATGATATAGCTACATCTGAAGGAAATGATACTAAGTTAGAATTATTGAAAATATTTGCTGAAATAACTGAATTTTGTGGAGATTTGGAGAACTTGCAGAAGAAAGTTGATACTGTTTATGATGTATTAATGGTAAATATACTTTTAAATCACTTTTTAAAACATCTTTACTTAAATTTCACTTAACATTTACTACACAATTACGTTCAATTTCAACTATGGACAACAACATTAAATTTCACATTAAACTTATTGCCATCAATTTATAGCATTCAACTGTACATTTCATTCATACATTTTATTTAATTCAACATACAATAAACCTCAAAAACTCGGCAAAACTACTGTGAGTTTACCAACATGTTGAATATATGCAATTATTTTTAATTTTTAGTGCCTGCTTAGGCTTAGTATTTTTATGAGTTTTACTTGTTCGTTGTTCATACAAACGCATATTATACAAGCCAAGCCTATACATGTGTAGTACCTTAGTAGCTCAGGAGTTCAGCACTCGTAAATTTCATAGTATCTTAGCAATCTTGATTTGATCACCAGGGACATTGTTATTTGCGACTTTAAGTACTAATTTACTAGTGTGAAGAAAAACATCGTGAGAAAACCTATATTTCTGATGAAAAAATAAATTGAGAAAATGTAAAGTCATCCAACACCCATTGAAGCAGCGTACAAATCTCATCAAACCCTGAGAGGATGGAAAACGAAGTTGGGCCAGAGCCCACTAATAAAATAATATACATATTAACTGCAACAATAACATTTAAGTGCTTGTGTTTGTTTATTTCAATAACCAGAGAATTTTACTTATTTACAATTTCTTCATGCAAAATAACACTTATAATTAGTTACATTTGAGTTTTTTTAGGTATATGCCCTGGCCCCTGACATATCTATTGCAAACTATCTGTCATCTATATAAATAGTAAAACTCTATTAACTACAATATAGCTTTTTGTTGAACAGAATTACCTTCCAGAAGCACCGATTGAAGGTGAAAGTGTAAATGAAAAGTCTGAAACTGCAGAAAGTAAAACAGAAGAAGTTAAAACTAATACAGCACCATCATTACAATTTTCGCATGTCGAATGTGCACTGTTTGCTCTGCACTCTTTATGCCGCAAATCACCTGAAGTACTAAGTAATGATGCAGCACGTCTTAAGGCTCTCCGTTTACGGCTTCAATACACAGCGAGATTAACTCAAGGCTACATAAAAAAATTGAAGGAAGTGACAGAAGTAAGTCTTTGTTATTGTTACACTTTAAAGTAATTTAATCTTATTCATCAGGAGGAGTGACAACGTATCTGCATTTAATTTCTTTACTGATGATTGATGCAGGTGTGTATGGGCAATGACATCCACTTATCATAGGATGGTTTTTGTGCCCACTTGTCACCCTTCAAGAAAAACCTTATATTACATCTTTAGATTTTATCACTTATCCAACCTGGTACGGTAATCACCTTGCCTCAAGTAATAGTGAATTATGATTTGTCATTATAAAGAATTTCCTTAGATGAGATATGCTTTTTATATATTTTTTTTTTTGTATTTAGTATTATTTTAATTTATTTAAAAAAATATTGTAGCTTATAAGTAAATCAGAGTACCGATTTAGTGTGGTGTAGCAGAATAGAATAATATTAAGTGCTTAGTAAAGAAGAACCATGTAGTGGTGGTGTAAGAATATCCACTATCCCATATCGTCTCTTGGGTGTCGTAAGAGGCGATAGACGGAAACTGAAACAGGAGATAGACAGCAGCATATTCCTGATGACAACTCGAAGTAAGTTCTGCTTCTCATCTGAGGATCCATCGAGCTGCTCGGTTACCATTACCGATGTGATATGTCAAGCGATAGAGTATTTCATCCCCTTTGCTGACATGCCCATTGGTTGTAAAGCTCGCCCGTGGTTCAACGCCGAGTGCGCTCGTGCTGAAAAGCACAAGCATATGGCGTACTTAACCTGGGTTAAGTACGCCATATGCTTGTGACCGCAAAGCTACGGATGTTAGCCTTAAGAAAGCCTTTAACCAAGCCGCCATGTCTTGCAAAAAGGCATTACGGCATGCCCGTTTCGAAAGCATTAAACGAATCGGTACAAACTCTCTGTTAAACCATCTGGCAGTAGAGCTTTTTGGTCTCTCTCCAAAGCGGTCGAGAAAAACTTCTGTCGGTCTACACTGCCTCCGCTGGTAAAACCAGATGGCTCACTGGCGCATGATCCTAAGGTGAAAGCGCATTTATTTGCTTCCTTATTTGCTTGCAATTCGCGTCTGGACAGTAGCAACAGCATACTATCTCAATTACCTCACTGCGGTCAGAGGTCCGTATCACCAACAAGTAGGTTCTTAAAACCTTGCGAAGTCTAGACGTTAACAAATCTAGTGGATCTAATGGTATACTAGCTATAGTTCTAAAGGTCTGTGCACCTGAGTAGTCTCCTGTTTTGACGCGCTTGTTCCGCCTCTCATTCAGGACTGTAATAGTGCCCTAATCTTGGAAGTTGGCCATTGTGCAGCCTGTGCCTAAAAGTGGTAGCCATGCCGACCCTGCCAACTATCGTGGGTTCGAATCTGCCATTAGACTACTGGCGTGAACCACTCGTAACACAAGCAATTTAAGCTCAACACGAGTGGTTAAGAGGAATATTAGTAATGTTTATAGCATTGTTAATATTCTTTTAATAAAAAATAAAAAAATGTCAATTATCTCCATACTGTGCAAGATTATGGAGCATATATTGAACGCCCGCGTAATGGCATACCTAGAACAGAATGATCTCCTTATTAACCGGCAATATCAGTTTCGCCGAAATCGATCAGCAGGGGACCTTCTAGCGTATGCCACACGTATGGGGCGAGGCCCTCAAGAACAGTGGGGAAGCACTTGCTATTTCCCTTGATGTCTGAAAGGCCTTTGACAGAGTATGGCACGCTAGCCTTTTGGGTAAGCTTCCGACGTGTGGCTTATCCCCGGGTCTGATTGAATGGATAAAGGACTTACTGAGTGAACTATCTCTCCGGGTCGTCGTCGATGGCTGCTCATCCGATCCTGTGGCGACTGTCTCCGGTGTTCCTCAGAGGTCCGTTCTCTCCGTGACTCTTCCTGCTACATATTAATGATCTGCTTATACCAAATGGAAGTCTGTAGATTCTGCCTATCCCTCTGGTTGTCAGGTGTGAGTGTTTATGATTTTATGTCTTATGCCCGGTATCTATGGGTATGCAGACAATAGCACAGTTGTGGAGAGATACCAACCAAGTGCCCGGACCAGTTGAGATCAAATCCAGACCGAAAGAGAGGCGTATGTTTGAGCGTGTGAATCTCACAGTACAGGCAGTCTCCGATTGAGGCGATCCCAATATCTTTAGATTAAACGCCTTCAAAACGCAAGTGTGTCTTTTCACCGCTAAAAGGGGGAGCAAGAGTGAATAGGCTTTTGTTACGCTAAGACCATGCGATTTACTAAAATAAATCTAAGGCTGCATCACTACTTAGCCAAGCACTGGCTTATAATAATTAAAAGAAATAATAATAATAGTAATCTTTGGTTACCAACCTGCCTGTCAAGCCTGGCTACCATGACAAAAATCCCCAATCAGGCAATCTAAGGAGGAGACCTATGTTCGCAGGGGACATTAGAGACTGTAATGGATGGATGGATAGAAGAAGAAAACTCAAGGAAACATGCATGCTTAAGTAATATAAATACAAAGATGTTTCACCTTATTACATGGTGGAGCCATGCTGCAGCTATACTATGGTTACAGCATGAATGGGTTGGCTCGATCGCTAAAGACCACACTCTCACAGTATACTAGCCTGAAATAGCAGCTTAATATAATAAATATACTACTATGTTTTGTAAGGTGAGTGTGAAAACTTATACCCTTCTTACTAGGAACAAAGTATTTTATCTTAGTTCTCAGGGGTGACAATGCATCTGCAATTTGATTTTAATTTATAATACATGAGTAAATGTCTATGAGCACAGAGTCCCGTTACCATCAGGTGGACTGTCTGCTTGTTTGTCCCCTTTATTATATAAAAAGAACCTGATAATTTGCTATTTATATAGCAAATTATCAGGTTATTTTCTATTAATAGTTCTACTAGAACTAATGTAGTCTTTGTTGAACGATGTCTCGGATTGGGGGCGACTAAATCTAGTCCAGTTTATCCTCAGAAGACACAAATTTGCGCGTTTACCGCTAAAAAGGACCCTTTGTAGTATCTCCGAAATTTCAAGGCACTCCCCTTGTTGCCTCAGCCAGTATCGGAATACTCGGCGTCGACATAGCGAGTGACGTACAGTTTCGTGGTTACTTGGTAGAAAAGACCAAATTGACGAATACTCGGCGTCGATATATCGATTGACGTGCAGTTTCGTAATCACTTGGTAGAGAAGACCAAATTGGCCTCTAAAAAGCTTGCCGTGCTCAGCAGAGTGGGACAGTATTTCATGCCCGTACACCGCTTCCAACTTAACAAAGCGTGGGTCCGGTACTCGCATGGAATACTGTTCCCCATCTCTAGGCTGGGGCTCCCCAGTGCCAACTCTTTCCACTTGACAAAGCAAAGCGGCTTGAATCGTCAACAACCGAGTCCTCTTCAATTCACTGGCGCTGCGTAGGGATGTTGCATCCCTTTGCATTTTTTTTCGCATCTACCACAGAGAGTGCTCTGAGGAATTGTTCGGATTAATACCAGCTGCCATTCTCTCTAGAATTAGTTGAATTTCTTGTTATAAAAAAAATATATTCGACATGTGACGTCCGCCAACTCGTATTGGGGAAGCAATATTATAGAAGGTCTCCTTGATGCATAACCATTGTATGGGGTGGTCGGGTAACTGACTGCTCCTAGTACTGTAGCAAAATGACTAGTCCTTATTAGGGACTTGAAAAGGAATATAATGGTTACGTGTATGCTGCTTCACGAGCAATTGGTCAATTGTAAACTTGGGCTCGCTAACCGATGTGTCCTAGGCATATCATCTTATTGCCGGTGGTAAGCGGGTTTGTTGTAGCAATACGGCTTTCCGTGGCGTACATTTCCTTGCCCTAAATCACTCTCGGAAATGAAACACAGACCACCCAGCCTACGAGACATGAAACCATTACGATTCCCTAATTAAATTAGTCTGTCAAGGTTAGAAGAAAGAAAGATTTGCGGGCGGCGCGGGAGACGTAACTTAGAGATGTGTCACATCCATATATCGTACGCGTAAATATGGGACACTGTGAAAACCTAACGTAATTATAAACAAATGAATGATGCATAAACTGCACCGTTAAATACATCTAAAGCTTATTAAAATATATACATGTATTTTACATGTCATTTACAACGCTAATTGCTTATCATATTCGTTATGAGTTGAATGTGCCTAAGAAATACACAAACATAATACAATACCTACTCTAGAAAACCATGACTTTGTTTCGGCTTCGGGTGCGACATTCGGGTGAAAATATCCACATTAGATAAAATTAACGTAATATAAAAATGTAAACGAAAATTACCTTTACCTATTAAGTAATTAGGGTTTGTAAAACTGTAATTTCGATTTTAAATTATAATTACAAATAGATTAATACACAAATATAATAGAATGACTGTCCGTCTACACAAAAAATAATAACACAATAAATAGTTGATAAACTTGCAACAATACTTTTTTGGGCATCTTTACTTATACGTGCCGTCTGCAGCAACTTTGATTAATAGACAGAGACGCTACTACAATACTGCGTGCTTGACAAGGACAGCCTCAGAACTACGACCAGAACAAGTTGAACCCACACGTTTTTAGTATTTTAAGATTATTTAAATGTTGCATTTACCGGTGAAACGTGATTTTATCCTTCTTGAAATTATGTTTCATGATATCACTACCACACCACTTTACTGCGCAAGTAGGCATGTTTTACTGTTTTTTTATTATAAAAAATTGTATCGCTAAGGACGCAGTGCACAGGTCTGTTGTCGGGCCACTAGTAGTGACTCACTACTAAACAAGGTAGCGTTCATGTTCATTTATATAGGCTCTGGTTGAGCAGATGAAGTACAGAAATTTGTCGCCTTTCGTTACGTGTCTCGTAGGCTGGGTGGTCTGTGAAATGAAAGAAGACTTATATGGTCAGCAGTGTGACATATATAGGCTGTAACTTATCATAAACCGTTTCCTCAAAAATGGAAAAATGTATGCAATTACTTACTTTTTATTCTTTCTTAAGTAATCTTATTAACTTGCATCATATTTCTCCTCACTAATTACAATTAGATTATATAAATTAAGTCAAATTGAAATATTACCTATTAATTTGGATCTTTTTAATTGTAACAGGTCAAGAAAGCAGACAACTCGGAAGAAAATAAAATAAAAATTACAGCACTGAATACAACATCTAACATTAACACTCTTATTCGAGACATATTCCGGACACCACCCAGCTTTAAAAGTAAAGTTCAGCTTTCATTCCAATCAAAAAAGACAGAGAAAAAGGTTTGTTTTTATTATTATCTATAAATTTTAAACAAACAAAAGCATGTTAGTTTTGTAATATTTTTTTATTATTTTAGGATAAGCTGTCTGAAACATTGAATGAGAAAGACAAAGAATCAGGGGGTCAGAAACGCCATCGACCAATTACCTTTGACAATGGAGAGAAAAAAGAATCTCCTGAAAAAAGATCACGAAGCGGTGACAGAAACTTAAAAATGTACACACCACCGTCTGGCAAATATAGTTCAAGATTGAACAATAGTGGTCGATTTACTGGAAGTTTTTCGGGGAGGGGTAGAGGAGGATATGGTAGAAGGGACTTCCGTAACAATGGCGCCCAATTTAGAAGGCGAAGCAACTACTAAATACAAATTAAACTACGAGATGTAATCTAATACAAATATGACATCGTTATTTAAATAATGAAAACTGACTAAGAATTGACATACTTTCAAAGAAAATATAATGAAAGTTGTACAAATTTAACCTATGGTTCATTAATTAATCTCGTATTAAATTAAACATGAAGTCCATACATTATTACAAGAATATTGCATCAAGTTGAACTTTATAGCCTTTTTAGTTCTGTCGCCGTGGCTTTTTGGGTTTGTTTCAGCATCACCAGTAGCAGTGTAAAATCAACATGTTTCTTTTCTCAGATATCAGGAGGTGATGACTGATTAGTAACCTGTTTTAAGCTGTAAATAGTAGCTGATATAATGGTGTCCACTGTTAGTTTCCATATTGTAAGTATTCATTTATTTTGTCATTTTGGATAGCACATTACGCAGAAGAGATGTCATCTACATGTAAGTATTTACGTTTTAACATTTATTTGTCACCTGCTCACAACCTGAATTACATGCCGTGGATATGCCGTGAATGATTTGATCATTGTGAAATCGGGTGAGTAAAATCTTTATTAAAAATTCTTTTCTTTTGTTTTATAGCTTCATCATCTGTCGGAGTATGTTACGCATAACTGGATTTTTCTTTTCGTTCGTGGTTCTAATTTCAGATATTTTTAATAGCATTTGTGTTATCACAAAGTGGCACTCCGTGAGCGGTCTTTTTTGTCATCGTGTGATGACTGATAAATAATAAAAAACTTTCAAAATATGTTGCATTTTTATTAGAAATTACTTAAAATTAGCCAACGAAGTGACAGACATGAATGTGTTTGAAGAAAAACGAGTTAAAACTGAAACTACAGTTTAATCAATGCAATCCAGACGAAGATATCGTCAAATGGCCCATAGACATAGCTTACATCCTCAATAATAAATCAAAGTGTGGCTCAGGGCTTTCATATCAGGTTCTTTGACTTTTTGCAATCTTTAGTGTGCGTATTAAATTTTATTCAATATTTTTTTTTACATTTGGTTATTTCTGTTATTATGTCGACAGTACCTAATAAAAGGTTAAAAACACTCCATTGGCGATACGAGACTGTGCCGCACCTTTTGAACAAAGAGCTTAAGTAATAATGCGGTGGCAAAGAATTCTAACACCAGTACGTCCCTTAACTTTGAACTAATTCGTTGCTCTACGTGTATTCCGCCCAAAAAACAAAAATTAACCAAAAACGAAAAATTTAACAAGAAAGAAACATTTTTTTACTTAATATTTTATTCAATTTTTTCACAAATTCTTAGGAAAGGCTATAATCAGTATCTTAGTGTGTCTTAGTGTAGCTCCCTCTAGCTCTACGAACTGATTAGCATACTCCTATCCAGTTATCAATAAAGTCTTGAGATACTGCGTTCCATTCTTCCTGTAATACACTTTCAAATCTCTCAAACTAGCAAAATCTTAGTTACATATCGTGCCCCTGTTGATGATCAATTCTCAATGACGCGGAGTTCTGTATGTGCCCCATACAAATACCTGACTAATCCGGAGACCCTTTTATTGGAAACAGGGCATTCCATCTTAGTCCTCAAAAGTGACAACGCATCTGCGTTTTGATTCTTAATCGAGGATAAATGTAGATGTCTATGTGCTACAGCATCCACTTATCATCAGGTGAACTGTGTGCTCGTTTGTCACCCTTATTTTGTAAAAAAAACCTGAGCATACCATAACTGACCCTCCATTATATATGCCTCTTTTCCAATGATGTTGCACTGAGCGTACCTCTCCCCGAGCGTCTCCGCATTTTAATCCTTCCATCATCTGGTTTGAGGCAAAATCTGGACTTATCTGTGAATAGAACTTCAAACTTCCTCATACCAATTTTTGGGATTGTGCGAAAAACTAACTCGAGCTGTTCGTTGGCATGAGGCAAGAAGAGCGCAGGCAAGTATGAATTTATTCCTGCCGACTTCAGTCTATTTAAGTGTAGTGTCTAGTTTTGTGAGTGGTTGTTAAAAATATCCACTACCCCGTATCTTCCCGTGGGTGTCGTAAAGGGCGACAGAGGGAAATAGGCAGGAGATGGGTAGCAGCATCTTCCTGATAACATCAATTGTAGAATAAAAAATTGCGGTTGCTCACCCGCCCGCCAAGCGTGGCAACTATAGTGATATACCCCACATGATGAGAGTTACGAAGAGACAGCCCCAGTCCCCGGCGACCGCGCTATTCCTGGCTATGGTGGCGACCATGGTAACGGCGGCGCAGGGGGTGTTAAGAATCCGGTGGAGGTTCGGTTGCCACCTAAGACGACTCGACCCTGCAACATAAGACGCGCGCACGAGCGAGACGAGCACGAACGAGAGACTGAGCAGACGATTATGGAGCTGGAAGAAGAGATAGACAAGTTGTGCTGGAATATTTTAAGATTATGAGAGGTCCGAAGAGGGGAGAGGACACGGTGATTCTCGAATCTGGCAACTTGTTCTATCACCGGGACCATCTGTCCCAAGGAGGTGTTGGATTTATTGTCATCAAGTCTCTCGTTAACAACGTTGTAAAGATTGGGAGTGTGTGGACGAGGGTTGCGTACCTTATACTCAGAATTAGTGGCACTAGTCGGAGGCGTGTAGCAGACGAGCGGTGGTCTTGTTCTTCAAGCAACGCGACAACGCTGTCTTGAACAACTACAAACCGATTTCCCTTTTGAGCGGCATCTACATGCTGTTTTCGAAGGTCATTACGAATCGTCCCGCACGCAGACTCGACGACTTCCAGCCTCCCGAACAAACCGGTTTCCAAAAAGGCTTCAGTAGCATAGACCACACACATACCCTGCGGCAGATTATACAGAAGACTGAAGAGTACAATCTGTCACTTCCGTATGTAGACTATGAGAAAACCTTTGATTCTGTCGAAATTTGGTCGGTTCTAAGGTCCCTTTAGCGGTGTTAAGTTTATTGTCGGTATATCAAAGTACTGAAGTGTTTGTACAGTACCTACTCCCGTCCTTACGATAAGTGCAATAACTCGAGTTTTTGGACTTTTTGACTTAAGTACATATCCGTAATCAGGAAAATGAGCTCTATATTTTCTTCTTTTTTGTATTAACGGTAGATTCAGTTCTTTTATTAAGTATAACTGCAATATCTAATACATTTGTAAGTTGCATATTATGAACGAAATAATTTGAGTTATGGCAAGGTAAGCTATAATATTTTGTGGTATTTCTATAGATTACCGGAATAAGTCCAATTATTGCACTTATGACTAGCGTATTTTTTTTTAAATTAAGGACACATTTACTAGTCATAAGCGCAACAAGTAAAAGTTATTGCAGATATGTTAAGGAATCTTTTAATTCAAAATTTTAAGCTGACAAATTCTAATAATAACAAGTAAAGTTTTTGCAATTATTTGAAGGAAAAACAGACAAGATTTGAATGGCTATAAATACTAAATCACAATTTGTCTTCGAGTTATTGCGGCTATGAGTTGTAAAGAGGGCGCCAAGGAGTGTTTTTGATTTCCGAAATGAATTTAGTGATTCTTTTAATGTGGTTTGAGATATTGATCTTAATACTAAAGCTCAACAAAGAAAACAGTTTGTTACACGTAATTCTTTAAAATGACTTGAAATCCTTCCATTGCTCGACGAAGACGATTTTTTTATAGGAGAAAGGTGACAAACGAGCACACAGTCCACCTGATGGTAAGTGGTTGCTGTGGCCCATAGACATCTACATCTATCCTCGATTACGAATCAAAATGCAAATGCGTTGTCACCCGCGAGGACTAAGATGGAATGCCTCCTTTCCAGTAAAAAGGGTCTCCGGTTCTCTACACTCACCATACGAAACACAGCAGCGTGAAGCTGCTATTTTACGCCGGTATTCTGTGAGATCTGGTCCTTCCTCGGTCAAGCCAACCCATCCTTACCGCAACTATAGCACTAATATGGCTGTAATATGGCTTTACCACGTATGATTGTGACAATAGTAGTTATCAGTTATCATAAGTATATATGTTTGAGGACTCCGCCGATAGCGTCAAAAACAAAGAATATTTACTTGATTTTTCCGTGAATTCAGACTTAATTCCGACACCTGCAATGAAACTAGTACAACAAATATAAAACCTAATGCAGAAATTCACAATTAATCATAAAACAACATCTAAAGACAATCACGGAGACCAAAATAATGGACCATACTTTATTTGATTTTCAAAAAATACAATGAAGGACCAAAGGCTTGATGTTATCACTGGACATTAGTGCCTGATGCTAGCACTTGTGACCTCAAAGATTACTGTACCAGAAATTAAATAAAACAAAAAAGGAAAGATGGGGAATGTGTCACTGATGGACTAGAAAATGAAATTGAAGATGCGAATGCCGAACAGGAAGCCCTTTCTTTCTTTTCGGTTTACGCATCTCAAGTAGAGTCACCATCAATATTACCTGCAAATCAAAAAGGATTTATCAAATAAGGTCTACCAAGGAAAAGGCGTGCATTTAATATTCCACTGAGACAACGCAACAAACAGAAGAAAGAAAGCGCTGATGCAGAGTTAGTATTATTACCACTATGTGGTGATTAATGTGGAAAAAAGTTTATGACAAAGTTTGCAGAAAAAATTTGAATAGATATCCACGATCGGTACATAAATTTAAATTGGGAATCATGAGGGTTGTTTATAAAAGGGATGGTTGAACCATATACCGTAAAAATCCAGGGAAAAAATGCGCAGTATAACCGCCAAAGAAAAATGTATTTTATCAAAATGTGAAGTTTGTCAGGTTGTTTTTCTGACAACACTTGGATATAAGCCAACAAATAATAGATACATTAAATTGGCACTCAGTAGGGAAGTTGATGACCAAACAGACAAACGAGGAAGCTATGAACGTATAAATTCATTAGACAAACACATAATTAAAGAACATATTCAATGTTTCAATCCAAAAATATTATATTATCGCCGCGAACATGCCCCCAATAAGTTTTATTTACCCAGTGACTAAATAGTGCGATGATACATTAAACTCAGACATGTCAAACATAGATTTTACTCAAATTCCAATGTTTTCTTCGCGTTGAAATTTAAGTTACTTTAAATGAATCAAGATTGACTTAAAGATTGATCTCACAATCTGCCTTAGTAGATTTAGTATAACATTTTTTATATATACTAGGAAAAAAAATTGTGTGAACGATTAGTTGATTTTTTAAAGTTACATAGGTATCTTGCTTTTAATATGTGCAATTGCAAAGTTCCTTAAGTCGTGATTACATAATTTTCGTGAAAGAAAACGCTTAAAGTGGCCTAAAGGGATTTAATTTTTATTTTTAGGTGGTAAAGTGATATTTTTGTAATATTTTTCACAACAGTTAATTTAATTAACCTGTAGACTCGAGTGAGCTAACAGGTTAATAGACATTTTCATACATAGTTTAAATTATTTTTCATATAAACTAATAATATTTTTGCAATTAACCACCGCTGCATTGTGTCTGATTAAAATAATTTACTAATTAAAACCGCAATAACTACGACATTTATTGCACTAATGGTTGGAAAGAAACTACAGGACATACAGTTTATGCTACTCAAAAGAGCAATTTGTCGGTTTACTAACGATAACTGCAATAAGTAGTCTACTTATTGCGGTTATGATTAGTAACTCTATCAAAACAATTAACCTTCCTACAGATAAATACACTATTGTGTTTTTAAAGTCTATATAAATGTAGGTATGTACAAATATAATATACTACAAAGATTTCTGCATCATTTTATCTGTCGTATGGTAAAAGTTTCAAATAAATAGCTATCATAGTTACGAAGATACAGACAAAACAAAAATTAAATCTTTAACTGCGATTATCTCGAAAATAGCCCAAACCAAGTTATTGCTAGACGTGGGCGTTATTTCACGTCACTAGATACAGTAACTTGCTACGCGACATGTAACCGAATCACTAGTTTCGGGTCATGTTACAAGTAGTGATTTTTGTAAATGCGTGATTATGATTACTGTTAACCATGATTATTGCGGGAGTCGACTGTCGGTCGGTCGAACGTAAAGCGCACATGTGGCATACAACAATAAACAAAACATCGTAAGTAACAGTATTATTGTACGTTTAATTTTCATACGTAAGACTATAGACATAGCCAATAAAATAGAGTAATCTCTGTTTGTAAATAAATTCAACGGTTTGCGATTCCGGGAAGCGAGTCACATTGAATTTAACTAAAATAATTTTTAAAACATTTTTGACGGAGTCATAGATGAATTCGTTTATTCATAAAATTAAAATAAAACTAAAAAATGTGTATAAAAAATTTAAATGTTTATAATATTATAAAACTTAAAAACTGTGTGTAAATAGCCAAACAAACAAACAAATTAATTGTACAGTATAAATAAAAGTGCAAAAACAAATGATAGTAAATACGTTGAAAAAGTTTAAATAAACTGTAAATATCAATAATCATTGTATATACAAATTGACTACTAAATATGCCTGCATTAATAATTTTATGAAAATCTTAGTGTCATAGTAAACGCAAATCAATCATAAATACATTTAATGCAGTCAGTCCTAAACCTGAATAAAGTATGAAGGGAAGTTAATTTATTCATTTAACAGTATACAGTTACTGTATAGCTACAAACACAGATTGTGATTACATTTATTTTCGTTTCGCGTGTAACTGTATAGTTGGTGGTGATATTTATGCAACAATCACAGTAGCCGAATAAAAATAGCCAGTTACAAAAATCACTAGTTTTGAAACAGGTGACGCCGATCAAGTCACTGGTTTCGTTACGTTTCTTGAAAATGACGTAACTACCCACGTCTAGTTATTGCACTCTTCATAAGAAGGGCAGAGTAGTGTTACTCTCTAGTATATAGTCCATTCTCTGTCTACGATATAGTCAGTAATCTATGAGTGTTACGATGACTATCCGAGTACAGAACCCATAGAGTAGAGTAATATATACAGAAATAGAGAGCCATCTCCTAGGATTTTTTGTCACCCAATATGAATAGTGTCGCCGCCTGATATCATATCCCTTGAACTAATCTCAATATCGTGTTGACTATAGATAGCCGTATGTAGTTATGTATATACAGCTATCTATACTATAGGTACATTTATATTTTAAGGGATTAGGGTTCAATTAAAGACGTATTATAGATTTCAGTAATATTAACATTTATTTTTGTTATATATATATATATATATATATATATATATATATATATATATATATATATATATATATATATATATATATATATATATATATTTAACATACACGATGTAAAAGCGTCTATTCCGCAAAATACAACACCAAACCAAATTAAATATGTCCACTGGGTTACCGGAATGATAAATGAAAGCGTCTATTTCGCACAACACTACACAAACATACAATGTAATTCCAGCATGAAAATCTAAACAGACAACAAAGAAACAGAGGGCTAATCCCAACCAAACTTATTGTAGCAACAACCGAAAATCACTTATAAACTATAATAAAACAACAACTTGCTCAGCGCCGGTAGCCATTATGTCATATAAAGTTGCCACTTGCCATTTCCAGAATAACCAGAATTGGTGTAGTCGCCATCTAGCGCACCTTTTAGAATTTAATGTTCGAAAGTTTATGGGGATATAGTACAAGATGGTACTAGTGTCTTTGCAAATTATTGAACCCCAACCTAAAGTATAGAAGTGTACCCCCCCTGACAGAACCAGAGTACGAAACCTGTCCTTAAATACCTATCTTTAGTAACTACAGAGAGGTGTAAGACAGGGCGATGTTCACAGAAATCGTAATAATAAGACTATAGAAATGAATTAGCGCTCGATTTCTTCCAAAACCGATGTTGCCAATCTTACCGCCTGTAAGCTCTGACAGCGCGCGACATGTTATACTCCCGTTCGCTCGGGACCGTAATGGCGGGAAAATTTGAAAATTAGCAAATTTTTTGCTATATTGCAAATTTTGCTATATTTTCACTTTGAGACAATATTTATGGATAAAACTTACAGGAATTCTTGTTGAATGTATAAACTATCGAATAAAATTATTTTTGGTTGCTAGAAATTGTAATAAAATACGTAATTACCCTGTATAGCTGTATAGTGGTATATACTTCAATTTTAGTGACAAAATTACTACTAATTTGAATTCTACACTTTTGTTTTTAGAGAAATTTATATTAAAATGTTTGGAAATATGTATATTTTTATGTTTTATGTGTTTCCATTCGTTACTCATACCAAAATATAAAATATAAAGAAATTAAAAAAAATTAAATATTAATATTTTATCTGTGTGACATTTAGAACAATATTTCTAAAATAGTTTTGTGTGAATTTGAAATAAATACAACGTCAAGTTATTTGAAATATGTAAGAAAACTATTTTTACTTACATTTTACACTAAAAATAAATGAGAATGTGAAAAATACCACATTTATGACCCAGCCGCCATAATGGGCCTTCCAGATTTTGAAGCACTTTTGGCAATTTACTTTTCACTTTTTATACCACAAATTATATATATATGTGTTCACTATATTACAAGGAATATAAAAAAAGTATAATACTTTCGTTTTTAGACCAGACACAAATATAAAATTCTATAAAAAAGACGGAGCACCATCATCAAAACGGCACGTGGAACGCCGAAAGTTCAGAGTGATTTCTTTTTTTTTTTTTTCTAAGAAACATTGCCAGGTTATGGTTTAAAATAAAAGAGCATATCTTTGTCTTTGATACTAATATCTATTGCATAGTGTCTTTGGTTTTGTTTAAAACGAAAAAATAGTTTTTTCATAGGTAGACATGTTTACATAATTCTGATCTAATTCGATCACTACTTGGCGGGCGTAAGGTTGGTATTGCGCGCTCGAATGTGAGCTAGGCTTGGTTAACAGGTTAAAAACATTCGCAATGCACATGTCTAATGTTTCAGATTACATTGCTTGGTTTGTCAACGTCGATCGACGTCGAAATGTTTCTAATTCACCTTTGTTAAACATCTTTAAGGATAATCTTTAATAATAATTTTCAGATTATTAACCCTCAACCACTGACGTACGTATGTGGTACGTCGCCTACACAATTTTTCGATGTAAATTTTAAATTACGCGGGATTTCGAACGCGTCCTTTTTGGTAGTTTCCTATTCGCCAGTAACGACCGCGTAACAGTGGAGTGCAGACGTGTGGCACGTGTCTAAATAGGTAAGTTTGATACCTTGACGTACGTCGTACATTTTGTCAGTGTTAGTGTGATTTTTTTAAACTATGTGTTTATGTTTGTCTTTAGATAAAATGAATCGTAAGCGATGTAATTCTCCTTCCGGCGTATCTTCGTCTAGAAAAATACTACGTATTGGAGGTGATGCTACTAATAACGAAGAAATTATCGCATCTCGGCTTTGTGAATCAGATGAATCATTGGCGGATGAAAATGATTACATTCAGTCGGACCGCGATGATTATTCAGAAGAGGAATATTGTGATGATGGAGAGGCCGCTGGTGCTGGGCTTCGGACCCTGACTCTTCTGAAGATGGTATGCCTTTGTCACATTTTTTCCCGCCATATTGATTCTGAAAATAGGCAAACTGGCGTCCAGTTAAGCGATTCTCAAGTAAATACAGTTGCCGAGGGTAATGTATCGCAATCTCGCAGAAAGTACTACTACGGAAAAAAACGCTGCATGAAGTGGTCTGCAGAAGGGCCATCGAGAACTACACGCACACCTGCGCACAACATCGTTACTCCAATAACTACAATTGATTTTTCACCGGATAGTCCGCCTTCACAATTATTTAGTTTGCTAATAACTGACAATATTAAAACACAAATTATAGAAAATACTAACCAAAAACTGGAATTGATAAGGCAAAAATATAAGCAACAAGGTAAACCTGAACTGAAGGACTTAGATTCTGTAGAGTTGGATGCTTTCATTGGGCTGTTGATTTTTAGTGCAGCATTCAAATCGAATGATGAAGACATAAATGCATTGTTTGCTACTGATGGAACAGGGAGAGATATTTTTAGAGGAGTAATGTCCAAAGATCGTTTTGCAATGATTCTCGTAAGTCTTCGGTTTGATGATGCATCTACCAGAGATGAAAGAAAACAGTCTGATGTCGCTGCTCCTATCTCGAGCATATTTTATGAATTTGTCGCCAATTGCCAAAAGTATTATAAAATTGGAGAGAATACCACTATCGACGAAATGTTAGTGTCTTTTCGAGGCAGGTGCAGTTGGAAGAAGTACGAGAGTGGATTGAAAAGTACTCGGCCTAACCAAGAAAATAAACACATACTAAATCAGTTATATTTTTATTTTTCTACATAATCACCATCAAGTTCAATACACTTTTGCCACCTCCCCTTCCAAGCATTTAGACCGTTGAAAAAAAATTATTCTTCCTTAGAGTCAAAATATGCGTCTACAGCTGCTTTGACCTCGTCGTTTGTCGAAAATCTTTGACCTCCCAAGTGCTTTTTTAGGTTAGGGAACAGAAAGAAGTCTGATGGTACCAGATCAGGTGAATAAGGCGGATGCGGTAACAGTTCAAAGCCACAGTTGTGAATTTCAGCCATTGACTGTACTGACGTGTGAACACGGGCGTTATCTTGATGAAACAGGACTTTTCTTCTGAGCATTCCTCGACGTTTTTCTTTTATTTCCTCTTGTAAACGACGTAGTAAGGTGCAGTAGTAATCAGAGTTTATAGTCTGACCCCTTTCAAGATAATCAATCGTAATCACACCTTACGAGTCCCAGAATACTGAAGCCATCACCTTATTTGCCGACAAAATCGACTTAGCCTTTTTAGAGGGTGGTGAACCAGGTCTTCTCCACTGTTTTGATTGTTGTTTTGTTTCCGGTGTACAGTAATGAACCCATGTTTCGTCCATAGTAACAAAACGATTCAAAAAATCATCTGCATCGATTTCAAATAACTCCAAACAGTCGCGTGAAATAGTCAATCGCGTCCTTTTTTGTTCAACTGAAAGCAGTCGCGGAACCCACCTCGCAGACACCTTGTGGAAACCCAACTCATTGACAATGATGTTTTGAGTTCGTTCATAAGAGATGCCTATAATCTCGGCTATCTCTCTAATTTTTAATCTGCGGTCTCCCATTATTAAATCAAGTACTTTTTTTAATATTTTCGTCAGTAGTTGACGTCGAAGGCCTTCCAGAGCGGGGTTCATCTTTCACACTCTCTCTACCACGCTTAAATTCTGCTATCCATTTTTTGACGGATGAATATGACAGAGCACAATCGCCTAATGTACTGACCATGTCATCATGGATGGCTTTTGATGATAGCCCCTTCTTATGGAGGTACTTAATGACGGCACGCTGCTCGATTTGCTCCATTCGCGGAAATTATGTCCGATTACTTTGTTAATAAATTTATAAAATCACAACTAATTATCGCACACGTTTCGAACTTCACACAATGAACTAGTCTGAACTGAACTAAATAATGTGGGTAGATTTGATTTTTAGAATTGAATGGATCTGTGTTAGGCCGAGTACTTTTCAATCCACCCTCGTACATGCCTAAGAAACCTTGCAAGTATGGATTGGAAATAAAATGTCTAACTGATAGTACCACCGGTTACCTGTACAATGCTTACCTCTATACGGGCAAGAACAGTGACGGCAACGGACTAACCGACGAACAGAAAAAACTGATGGTACCTACACAATGTGTTTTACGTTTAGCAAAACCCATCATGGGAACTAATCGAAACATCACTGTAGATAATTACTTCTCCTCGATTGAAGTATGCAGAGAATTAAAAAAAATTGTTTGACATATGTAGGGACACTAAAAAAAAAGGGAAATACCACCTGAATTTCTTTCCAAATCTCGACCAGTTCATTCAGTTTCATACGGTTTCACGAAAGACATTATGTTGTTGTCATATGTACCAAAAAAACACAAAACTGTTATAATGTTGTCGTCGATGCACCATCAGAGAGCATGGATTCGGTCAAAGGGATCCCAGAAATAATATCATTTTATAACACTTGTAAAGAAGATGTTGATTCCTTAGATGAAAATGCGCCAAATACTGCTGTGCAAGAAGGTCTAGGCGATGGCCGTTGATCATATTCTACAGAATTTTAGATATTGCTGATGTCAATTCTTTTATGTCAAATTATAACACTTCGGATCGTCTGAGTTTCATGAAAAATCTTGGAAAAAGCTTAGTAAAGCCGAACCTCGAGCGAAGATACACGACGCCGCAACTTTCACATGAGCTTTCGAGTCTTATTGGTCGTATCTTGGGCAAAAATATAGCTACCGAAGTGGGTCAACCAAGTCATGAAATTATAAAATTTGAAACCATGAAGAATTGCTATATGTGTTATAAACTAAAACGTCGCAAAACAAGATACGGTTGTCAAGCATGCGGTAAACCATTATGTTTGCAGTGCTCTAAGCCGACTTGAAACAACTGTTGTTAAAAAGTGCCTAATTTTCATTATTTATGTGATTGCTATTTTTTTTATAACTAAAACCATTCTTAGTAACAAAACCAATAATAAACGTTCTTATTCTTTAAAATTATTTTTTAGTTGATTTAAAAAAATATTATGTTAATTTCATTACTTCTAAGGCCGTTGATTAATAAATATTTTGCTTTAATTACTTAACTGTTTTTTTTTTAATATCCCTAGGTTATATTAAATATATTTAACCAAAATGTAAATACACATCACAATATTTACACTCTATCGATGCACAAGAGGTCTTTAAAATCATAGACATATGTCATACGTACGTCAGTGTTAGTGTTACTAGATTGCACGTCAGTGCTTGAGGGCTAATAATAAATAACTATAATAATATCAATAAAACAATAATAATAATAGTATTTAAAAATATTAATCATAACAATAATGATAATTAGTAGCAGGTTTGTTATCGCACGGCGCGATCACTCGCTACTTTGGTGGGGAGCGATTGTGTCGGCGTGTATAAATAGCAGCTGTTTCGGCTCGCCGCTCATTGCGCCCTCCTTTCTGCCAAGGAGGGTCGCGTTCGTATACGGCTTAGAGATCTCTAGTCAGATCGTTAAGCCAATTCCTAAAAGGTTGAGTTTAGTGGGTAAAAGTCACCACATAACCACGCAGCCGGCAGCGTGGTATACTATGAGCATTCTCAACCTCCCTCCCCCGCTTTCCGGAGGGTTGCCCATATTTGCTTCGGGCGCAAAAAAAAAACTCGCCGCTCACTTAGCGGTCAGCCGCCGTATAGTCTACATTACCTGAAGATACCTCGTGTACAGGCGAAACACGTGTTGTATTATCGTCGATGGTGTGTCTACCTGGAATAGTGGTGCTGGGACTAGTGGTGACGGAGGTAGTGCATGCAATTGAAGGAGGGCGGGAGGTGCTCTTCAATCCAGGTAAGACACATCATTGTATTTATTTAGCTTAAGGTTGCGAAGAAATTTATATTTTTATTTTTTATTATAATGGATTTCCGCAAAGTAACGCCTGATTCTATTAATTATCTAATAAATGAGTTTGCAAAGGTAAATGTCATAGTAAAATATGTATCTAGATGTAAAATAATTAGTAAATAATCAACTTACTGATGAAAAGTTGTCTTTATAAATTTAATTACACGTCCTCTATGAGTTCTTACAACTGATTATGCTGCAGTGCATAAATTTATAATAACAAAGATTCACGTACGACGTTCCCCGCACAACTAAATCACAAAATGGTGAATTATGTTCTTTAACCCATAAAAGCGGCGACAAGGTCACACGTTTATGCGACTTCGATTTCTGTGGTGATGTTATATCCCTGAAACTCTTCACCGCTGCATTGAATGAAGTTTTCGAGCTAGTGGACTGGAAAGGATACGGTATTAACATCAATGGCGATTACATCACTCACCTTCGATTTGCCGACGATACAGTGTCCTTATGGCAGAATCGCTATAGGACCTGGGCACTATGCTCAATGACCTCAATAGTGTATCCCACCGGATAGGTCTAAATATGAAAATGAACAAAACAAAGGTTATGTTTAATGTCCATTTCACACCTATGTCAGTAGTTGTTAAGACAGAATAAATAATAGTACTACGTACAGGAGATGGCACTCCTTTGATGTAGACTACTTGCCGACGATTAATAGCCTAAGTACATAATTATTATTAATTAGATAAATCACGCACGCAAGCTGAATAAAACTTAATTGCCCCATTTACACTCAGTCTTGTTGGGCGAGTATGTAAACAAGCTACTGCCCATGCCGCTGCCGCTGCCCGGCGTTCCCTCGATTGTCGGTTTTTCGCGCAGAAGTCAAAGGACGGGCAGCGCGAGCGTGAGCGAGTACTTACATTCTCGCTGACTTGCCGCCGAAGTTTGACATAGAGAGAAAGAACGTGCTACGTTTAAAAACGGCAATTCGTTTATTAATCTGTCCTGTGTTTTAATAAAACAATTATTTTTAGAACTTTATGAAATTGAGTGGGTAATATGGGATTCTCATGAAGAAGAACATAAATTGCAAGTAGTAGTAACCTACCTACTTATACTGAGCAGACATTATGCACCAACAAACTCGACGTCAGTCATTGTTGCGAGTTGGTTGGTCATTAAAGAAGTATGATCACCAAATTGTTAGGGTCACACTAATGGATTCAAAGCTCCGTCCCCTAGTGTGCTATTTTATGGTCCCGAAAACTTTAAACTCAAAATAAAAAACCGTTTTCAGTTTTTAGAAGACTGCAATTTTTAATGATCATTCAATCTCCAGAATAATAACCAAGTGAAATAGTGCGAAATAAATCTAAACAATAAAATTCAATAAGGGTTAAAAAATCGCACTGGGTCGTAACTTAATATTTTTACATGTTCATCATTAATTTATTTATTATATAAAAATTACATTGAACCTTGCGAGGAATTGCAAGTAACAATTTTATTGGTTCCGGAGTGATTAAAAATAAGGTTAATTGCGCACAAGTTTTAATTTACAACTGGCTTTTGACCCAGATCTACGGTTATTTTTATAGTCTTTATACAAGACTGAAAAAATTCGCAAAAGTAACAAAATGGTTGTGGACTAATATGCCTTTATTTTCGGTTTTATTGGCAATTTCAATACAAAAAAATACAAAATACAAATTATATTATATTCAATAGAAATAAATAGAGAAAATCATCAAATAGTCGAAGTCAATTAAATACAAAATAATACTTCAATTAATTAAATAATAATAATATTAAGGATAACTCAAAAAGGCAGAGTGTAAACACCCAGCGCAAGTCCGGTCGTGCATGGAGTACTGCTGTCACATATGGGCTGATGCTGCAAAATGCCTCCTGGCAGCGTTTGACTCAGTGCAGAGATGTGCTAAGAGGCTCATTGGTGACCTCGATTTAGTTGAAACCAATCTTGTCAGCCTTGAGTACAGGCGCAGAGTAGCCAGCCTCTCGGTACTCTATAGGATGCATTTCGGAGAGTGTGCGCAGGAATTGCATGCTCTAATTCCTCCCTCTCCTTTCCACCATCGCACGACCAGGCGGTCAGTAGGTCTTCACCTCTTTGTTGTCAATATTCCACGCATTAGAACCAAACGGTTTACTTCGATTTTTTTAATGGGTACAGCAAAAGAGTGGAATAATTTGCCAGCGTTTATCTTTCCATAAGAATACAATCTGGGCGTCTTCAAGGCAAGAGTGAATAGGCATTTGTTACGCTAAGACAGTGTGATTTACCATAAGGCTGTATCACTACTAACCACCCCTTGGGATTGTGGTCAAGCACTGGCTTATAAATCAAAATCGATGTATATGTTATTCTATAGATTAATTACAGGCCAAAAGTAATTCAGTTTCATGGTAGTAAAGTGTTGAGCCACAATATAATTTTCTTTTAGTAATATAGTTGTTCCCTTTTTGCTTTACAAGCACTATTCAATTTTTTATATAAATATGGTGCTAAGTATTTGTACTTCTATTTAACAAGAACACTTAGTTACTGTTCTGATAGGGATAGGGCATCTGTCTATACTTTTCTTAGTTATTGGCAATTCTGGAATATCTTATTGGTGATATCTTCTAAGACATTTGTCAAGCTTTTTAATCAGCTTTTTAACTGACAGGACTTAGGTTTCCTCTTAAATCGATATAGTTTGATATGTAAAAGGTAAATACAATGCAAACTTTAAAAACATCTAAGTTGAGCAGGAATGTCGTAGCTGATCCTCCCCAAGTATATATGCAATAGTTAGGTAATTATACTCTCACATAAAACTTTATAGGCCTGTATAATTTATTTAAATGTTGCAACTCTACATAAGTCCCTAAATATATAAATTAACTTTCTTACTCTGTTTGTCAGTATACATATATATTTGTTCCAATTTAACTTTTGGTCAATGAGAATGCCTAGGTATTTTGTTACCATTCATGAGTTAAAAGATCACAAGAACAATCACAATAAAAAATAAAAGTAAAATATATGTTACACTCTCTCTTCTGTCTTTTTCTGTCACATAATTTTACTCTTTCTTTTACCATTTTTAAAAAGTTTTGTGTAAGATAGTTATTTGAAAAATTATTGATAGCCATTTTATTGCACATTTAAAAACTTTGTTCTTTAAATATTGTTGACATATAAGAAAAGTGCACACTAATGTAACAAGTTGAGGATTCCCAAAACTGTGAGTTAAAAATAATTTTATATAATCAATTATGTTTGAAAAATTATTGAAGATCATTTTGTTCACATTTATAGACTTTTTATTTAAATATTGTTGACATGTGAGAAATATGCACGCTAATGTATTAAGTTGAGGATTCCCAAATCAGTTTGAATTAAAAGTAATTTTATTTATTAAATTCATCTATCTCATGTTATCAATAACACTGCACATAATACGGTCGAGTTCATAGCAAGAATCTGCATTTGCATTGTCACTAGGACTGCAATCCATATGTTCCAGCATCTCTATAGGTACTTTAAAATTTGATTCAATTTCATTTTGATCTGGTAGACTTTGAAGTGCATTTTGTAATATATCTTGAACCTTATCCAGGTGTTTCTGGAATCTGCAAAATATAAACATATTATTTAGTATCAATATAGAAGAATTTATAGGCCCATATCGTTAAGAATATATGAAACTTGCTTTTTGCCCCATATCCAAGTTGTGACGTCTGAACAGTCATGACCCACGTTTATTATGAGATAGAATTATACAGAGAGTTCAAGCTTTCACATGAAAACTTTCTCAATTTCTGCGTGAAAATGCTTGTTGCATGGTGTAAACTGCTCTTATATGCTGTAATATTCTTTCCCTGCATACTCCAGTACATTCATCCTCCTTTTTCAATAAATAATTTTTTGATTCAGCTATATGCTTGTGGAAATCCTTGTTTCCATGTTTTTGCTGTGCTTAATCCCTTTTCTTAAAAAATCTATTCAAAACTTCTTCTTACTTGGAATTCTAATATTTCCCATCATACTTCCTATCCTTTCTTGTATTTTTATCTAAATCTTATATATGTGTATTATATTAAATAGGTACAAAGTGTTTTACCCACCAAGAAACACATTTAACATATTTATTATTATTAATGTTATAAGTAAATTGAAAAGATTAGTTTTTATTCATAATAAACCAGTGCTGAAGTACAATCCCAATTGGTAGAAAGTAAGGTAGTCTAAGTGGTAAATTGCACTGTTTTAGCGTAACAAAAGCCAATTGACTCTTGTCTTGAAGACATAGGTATTTTCTATATAATGGCTCTAATATAAATACAGTTGCAAGCTGTCAACAGTGCAGTTGCTTTCATTATAAACATATATATGATATTACTGTAATGTTGCAAGTAAATGCATCGATACAAGCACCTACTTGTACCAACAATTTATTGGGCAATGTTTAAAATATGTTAGTAATATTGGAGGTAGGCTAAGTAGTATCCCAGGTATGGACTATTACAAATACTTCTGAAAAATTAATGTTGGATAAAAGGCAAGGCAAGAGATAGTAACCAGCTACTTAGACAGTTGGGCCATGTGGTCTTAATCAATCTAAATACTATATAAAAGAAATTAAATTAAAACTGTATATATAAATAGCTGTAGCCCAATGCTTTGTCTGTGTGGAATTTATTACTATAGAATACATATGTTTTACTTTTTGGCATGAACATTATTTTTCTAATACAAAAATAGCATAAGTTACTCCTTATAACAACATCTATCTACCAATGAAAGTTCCGTCAAAATTGGTTCAGCCAATTTGGAGATTAGCTGGAACAAATGGACAGGCAGACAAAAACATTAAAAATTTGTTTTTTTTTTGTTACAAGTACCGTATATACATAATATGCATTTAGTAAGAAACTGTTATTTACTAATGTTTTTACATTGTAAGCACACTTCAATTTTATTTATTTGTATCAGAAACAGCTATAACAGTTTGGTTACAATTTTGAATTTTCATGTTTTACTAACCAAGTTTATCTAGATGGATGTCATCATAGACAAAATAATTTTCGGTAGTTTAGGTACTAATTTTAAATTATAGGTAAAAAATTAAGCTACCTCATAGCAGTTTCTACACGCTGTCTTTTCTGAAGCTCCATCATTACTCTTAATGTCTCACGAGCTTGATGTGGTCTGAATTCATTTAATAAATGATGAATGTGTATGAACAATAAACTCAGATCTTCAACCTTTTCAGCTCTTTTTGGTGAATCAGGACAGTGAACAAGTAAGTCCAAAAGATCTAAAAAATTCACTAGTAAAGAGTGATTTAATTTCTTTAATTCTCGTCGCCTCTCAAAATGCATGGGATATAACCGACGAAAGCCCTAAAAGCAATTGATGTATATGAAAAAAATATATGGTAGTAAATTTATTAAAATAATATAAAATGTTGAAAATGGCCGTAATTCAAGTAAAATATTTTGTGCAGTCACTTACTTGACTTTCTAGAGACCTTATTATTGTATCATCAGCATTAAATGCATGTCCAAACATTGAATAAGAATCATGTATTGGACGTGGTGGGAGAGGTGCTCTATTTCTTCGTACATTTTCATCCGTGTAAAAATTTATATATTGCATTGGTGGTAATGGCAGGGAACTGACTTGTGCCGTATCGGAAGACATTTTTATTTATATTTTAACAAGCAATTGAACTGAAAATGTTTATTTAGTTAATAAGATACAACTCTCTGAAATAAGATTTATCTTTTTTAATCACAATACTCGATTTATTAAATTAAGGAGTAGAATTATCAAAAAACAATGTATAATTTAGTATTTATCTCTGATCTACCGATCAATTCATTTTATTTTATAAATAATAGTCTAGAGATTACCACGCATGAGATGACTAACTTAACTGATTGATAGAGGTGGGCGAGTGGGCGATGCAAACCGTATACGTATACTGATACCAACTGATACGATATTGGTACAATTACAATATCTAAAAACCGCTTACTGGTTCGTTCCAAAACTAAGTTTGTATAATGAATGAATGATAATAACCCCTGGAAATGAGGTGATCGCTAGTTCTAATTTGTTGTGTTGTTATTTGTGTAATAATATATGATTGTAAGCTTTTATTTAAAAAAAATAAGTCC